TATACATATATACATATATATTTAACAACTTGATTCTTTTAACTTTTATTGCTTTTCTTGTAATTTTATGAATTTTCTCATAATTTTGTGACACTTTATTCTCGTAATTTTATGACTATTATTGTTAGGATTTCATTCTCTTAATTTTATGACTTTATTGTTGTAATAATAACTTGATTCTTGTAATTCTATTACTTTTGTCGTCGCGACTTCATTCTCGTAATTTTAAGACTTTATTCTTATAATGTTTTAACTCTAATCTCATAATTTTGTGACTTTATTCTTGTAATTTTATGACTTGAGCTTTACAACAATAATGGAACAAAATTCACTCGAAACATAGAGAAATGCTGTGTGAACTAATCAAAAATGATCAAATCAATAGTTTAATGTTCATCTACCAGATACTGCCAGAGTCACCCATCTACAGAAGGTATGATGTGAGGGAATATTTCCTGTTTTTGTTTGGGAAAGTTAATTGGAAAAAAAAAAAACTAACACCTTTAGATAGAAGTTATTCCGGTAGACTTTGGGATGCTGAGCTTCATGTTCGTTGCAGAATTAAGATAAATCCCAGTAACATGGAGAAAAAAATGCTGGAAAAATCCAGTGTCCAGCTAAAGATAACAGAGAGGAGCGAATTCCAGGGGCGGTTGCTTTGCATTGATTGAGGAATCAAAGTTCCTGAGTAAAACTCCAGCAGACCTCCTGGGTTAGAAACAAGAAGCTACTCCCTCCTTTACATTTACTGTATATTTTTAATACTTTCCACATTGTTTTTCTCTCTGCAGAAAATGCACTTGTCCTCTCTGTTCTCTAATTATTCCTCTACAGCTTGCATTTCTTTAGATCATGTTGTTTTCCAAAGTACTCATGTCTACTTTATGTTTGTCTATGTTATCACCAGAGCAAATTCCTATAAGTGTAAAACAACAGTAAAGCTTTTTCTGATTCCATTCAGTCAGCAAACAGATATTTGTTGGAATAAAACTAATTCTCCAGCAGCCTCAAAAATAAAGCCTCCTGCTGTGTTTTTCCTGACTACATAAAGTCTGCTTTATCTGTCTTTGTGTTGAACTGATTCACTTTTATAAAGTCCTTTGTGCAACCCTCTTTACTTGGGTCGGCTTATCTGTTTTCTTGTTTGCTAACTGGTGTTTCAATGTTCATCTGATAAACAAACCAACAGATACGCAGCAGCGTCAGCTCTATCAAGTTAGGTAAACCTTTTAAAACACAGTTGCCTAAAAATCATTGAGAAACAGGGCAGTCATCTGACTGAAATGTGACTCAGATGAATTTGCATGGATTTGGAAATGAAAATAGGGTGAAGGATGTGGCTAAGGATGTGGGGGTGTGGAAGGGTCTGCTGAGTATATAACAAGTCAAACCGCCCAACAGCAGTTTTCCTGTGACTGCATCGTTATCCATGCTTGGAGCTTAATAAACAGTACTCTCTTTTTTTTATTTGTACCACACAAAAAAATAGTTGTTAAAAAATGGCCATTGAAAAATCTAAAATAGCCATTGGATTTATAGTGGCAGGCATTCTGATGCTGCTGTTTGGGATAATTACAGCAATTATTGGGCCGACAGTTATGAAGAACGAGGTAGAAAAGGTGAGTTTTACTTTTGACTGGGAAGTCTGCTTATTTCTCTATGATAACCTTTATTACAGAGAGTTTATTTTAAGTAAGTTCCCAGAAAAGCCTCAGCAAAAAAATTATGCATTTTTGTTTTAAAAAGCACGTTGGAATCTTCCTCTATATATTTTTTAAAACATTTAAAAAATGAACTTTTAACTAAATAGACATACATTTTATAGTGGAAATATTATCTAAGATTAATTCACATTAATATTATATTTATCAAATTCCTCATGTTATCATTCATTTTATATAATTCAATAAAAACTTTTGTTGTTGCTCTAATTTTAAAAGTATCTACACACATTAAAAAAAAACAATTTTGAGAAATGAAACTTATTAGAGTCCCTTTGCTATAAGTTATCAAAATGAATTCTGATGAAACTGACTGCAAGTCTCTAAAATCTGAACTTTAAGTTCATTTTTTTTTTTGCCATGGGCTCATTAAATATTTATTTTGTTAAGTTTAATTTTAATGAAGATATATGGAAATTTTGACAGCCTAAGAGGTTGATTTATAAACTTACATGAGGTTTACCTTAATTATTTGTTACTGAATATTCTCCGAATTTTCAGCTGCAGATATCTGTAATTTGAATTGGATGTTTATTTTTTTTTTTTATTTTGCTAACAAACAAGTGAGCACCTTTTAGCTCCATCCTAGCCAGCTTCAACTGTAAATCCTACTGCCACATAAAAAACGCAGCAATTAAAACAAGAGCTCACATCTCTACAGCTGTAAACAGAATTTAACCAAAAAATCATATGTGTAAATAATTTAAGGTTATAACAATAGTAAAACTTGAATGTAGATATTGAATAATATTTGATACTCCATACTAACTTCCATACCATAGGAAAAAAAACATATGATTAAAAGCAGTGGTTTTAAAAGTACACACATTTGTTACTTAAGTAGAAGTATAGATACTGCAGTTTTACTCAAGTAAACGTGAAAAAGTATGTGCTCCAAAAACTACTTAAAGTTTAAAAGTATAATGTAACTTTAAAAAAAAAACAGCCAGATGCCGCTATATGAACTGAAAGCTCAATTTTTCGACTATTTCGAATAATTCTTTGAGATAGGGCGAAGGATAAGGGAGGTCTTGTTGGTCTCCATCTCTCGATACGCTCTCGCCTGTGTCCGACCTTTCAGACATTTCAACATCTTTTTCTGAATCCAACATTGCAGCATGGCATAGACATTTGCAGTTTGAAGAACACCTGCTTGTTTCTGATGAGTTCCTTTAGCTAACCAATGAGTGTTTGCATTCTATGACTCATCCAATTACACTAGTTTTCACTAGACGTGGATGATCTGCATTGGATGGCGCACATGACGTGAAATAGATATTTATAAACAGAAAAACCGAAGCCAAGAGTAACGTTTGTTTTAAAAATATAAGGAATAGAAAGTACCGATACTTGTGTGAAAATGTAATGAGTAGAAGTCAGAAGTAGGAAGGAAACTAAGTAATGGAATAAAGTAAAAATACCTAAAAGGTGTACTTAAGTACAATAACGATGTATTTGTACTTTGTTACTTGACACCCCTGATTAAAAGCATAAAAAACATATTAACCTCTCAAAATCCACCTGTACCTTTACAACGAACAACTCAGAGCTGCTGGGGACACCAAAAGTTTAAAGCCCCACAGCTGTGGAAATGTTATACTTAGGGGTCTGAAACTTTCTGCAGTTGTGGTTGACATGATGTAGAACATAATACAATGAGACATGCCTATTGTCAAGCATGTTCTCTATTACTGCCATTCAAAAAAAAAATAAATAAATAAAACTATTATTTTCACAAACTAGAAGGTGTTAGCTTCAGCTATTTGCTTTTCCATTAAGAGGTTAACATTGAAAACTCACCATTTTCAATCTAATCATGCGCTAATTTCTCAATAGAATCACAGATTATTCTAATTAAAATAAATGCAAAATGAATAACCTAAATATTATACAATACAAGATGTTTAGAATGTTTGGGCTTATATTCTTTTAATGTGAAAATAATC